CCGCTCCCGGTCCAGCGCCTCCCGCAGCACCAGCGAGTACGACCCCGAGAACGTCGCCTCCAGACCGAACGGACCCGACGGCCACACCCAGCACCGCACACGACCGTTCGCCCCCGAGTCCCGGTCCGACACGCTCAGCACAGCCACCACCGTGCCCACCGACGCGTCCTCGGGCACCGGCACCGACAGAGACGTCACCAACACCTCCGGCGCGTTGTCGTTCACGTCCACCACCTCCAACACCACCTTGCAGTGACCCGACAGCGGGGGGGTCCCTTGATCTCTTGCTTCAATACGGAAATCAAATACCCTGACTTCTTCGAAGTCTAAGGCTCCCATAAGGTGAACCTCCCCCGTCTTCGGATTGACGGAAATCACATCTTTGCTACTGGGCGGGAAGAAGTTCGTCACAGTGTAGCTCAGCTCACTATTGCTTCCTACATCGGGATCCGTGGCATTAACCCGCGTCACTAGCGTACCCTCTGCAGCGCTCTCCGGCAGTTGCACTTTATACACCGTCTGATTACACTGAGGGGCGTTGTCATTCGCATCCAGCACCGAGATCATGATCTCCACTGTACCAGTCAGAGATGGCCGGCCCCCGTCACTCGCCGTCAGCACCAACCGGTGTACATCCGTCGTCTCCCGGTCTAGAGGTTTCGTTAAAACGAGTTCAGGTTCAATATTTTGCTCATTCGACTTTTGTAAATCCAGAGAGAAGTGCTCGCTGGGGCTGAGTGTGTACGAGAGCTGAGCGTTCACTCCGATATCTGCATCCGAAGCGCCCTCCAGTGGGAAACGAGACCCCACCACAGACGATTCCGGGATGCTAATGTTTTTTCTGGCGGCGGGGAAGATGGGGGCATTGTCGTTGATGTCCGTGACCTCCAGCTCCACGTGGAAGACGCGCAGCGGACGCTCCACCAGCACCTCCAGCCGCAGCAAGCACGGCGCGCTCTTCCCGCACAGCTCCTCCCGGTCCAGCCGCGAGCTCACCACCAGCGCCCCGCTCGCCCCGCTCACCTCCACGCT